GACGGTGGTTTCCCGTCGTCTATTTCGATTTTTGTAGTAGTGAAAGGTCCTTAGTCACAAGGATCAAAACAAATACAAATAACCACATAGGGTTAATACAAATACGGAAACACAACCACAAAGGGTTAATCAAAATAATATGGAGGAGTGCACGGGTAACAGCCAACCCAAAGGGTAAATCCAAATAACAAAAAGAGTTCTTACACTGATTTGAAAGTGACCCTTGTATACGTTTCACTATTCCACTTGTTCATCAATCTAATCTAATTGTAAACAAACATACACACACACACTCTCTCTCTTTCTCTCCTCAAAATTAAAATGTTGAAATTACGTAACGAATTCACATGCAGGCAGCAGCAGCTTCAACAGCAACATGGTAACATCTACCCTCAACAATTTCCTGTCTGAATTGCTCAAAATAACCGGATTTAATTGCCTCTCCCTTACTGAGCGGAATAATCCTAGATAATGGTGAGTACTATGTCTGCAAAATCAAAGGACAATCTGATGATGATGATGACAACTACAATGAATGATGATAACATACATTTTCTAGTAGAGTCTCTGAGCCAGCATTTCGTGAACATTGAGCAGGTGATTGATGTAAGCTTTTGTATGATTCTTGCATGACAATAAATGATTAAGGAAGCACGGTAAGACTTCATGACAATGCGAAGCAGAAAACGGCAAACCCAAACAAGCCCACAAGTTGTATCGTTTTCTAGGAGAAATTATACAATAGTACAGTAGTACCACGTGGCAATTGACATGTGGTATTACGTTCCACTGAGCTTGCAACACGTGGATGGTAATAAATTTCTCCATGACGATGTTTGCCTTCTCCAAAACCTCCGTTTCTTTGTTATTCTTCCTAGAGACTGAACTCAAGTTTGAAGGCGCCGACTTTGACCGGCAAAAAAAAAGTTTGAAGGTGCCTACTAGAAAAGAGAATAATAATAAGAAGAAGAAAATGCAAATTAAAAATTTGTGTAAAGCTCCGATGCAAAACAATGGAGTTACATGATGCAAGAAGCCAAGATTATTTCTTTTAGCGGTTAATTTATTTGAAGCAAACTCTCACTGAAAATTGCCAAAATTTATGGATTTTTTTTTGTATTCTTTCTTCAAGAGAAGATGTTTTTCAACCCATAATTTTATTTTATTTTAGAAATCAACCACGATCAACGCATGATCTTTGATGGGTCTTTGTTGAATAATGAATTTGCTTGAAATGATGGTGTGATAGACCAACAAAGATTGTGGGGAATGGATTTGTAGGGCAAAGTTCTTCAATTTCTTCATAGATCTCTAATTAATGGGCCTCTTGGAAATTTTGGTATTCTCTCTCATAATCTTTGACAAGTAATGGGTGCTCTAAACTTAATCTGCACATGCGATGTGTTTATGGGTAAACTGCTGATTGAAATTTGGAATAGTTTCAAGTTTTTAGAAAACAAGATCTGAGGACTGAAAGAGACGGAGGTTTTGGAGAAACAAACGTCGTTGGAGAGAAATTTATTACATCCACATGTCACAAGCTCAGTGGAACGTAGTACCAGGTGTCAATTGCCAGATGGTACTACCGTACTATTGTATAATTTCTCATTTTCTAGTTCTTTACTTTTATATAACAACGACTTCCGTTTCGGTTTCTTTAATGTTACTTCTATTTTATTTTAGACTACAGTTTCTTCCAAATTACTTACAAATGTCATGTGCCTAATGGCTTTATGTCATATTTCTCCTATGGCATCAGAGCCATGGTTTGATACCTGTTCTGCTTGGTCAGGGCTCTCCATAAATTTGTTGAGGTTTTCATATTTGTGAAAACTCAAACTCTGCTTGTTTTGACTTTTGCTGAACCAAATTTGTAACGAGAGGAATCTCGTTTTGAATGACTTATTTTCTAAGTTTGAACTTGGAAGTTCTGATTTATAGCTGGCTTCTTCTGTGGCTTGAATGAGCTTTTGGTTGCTTCAGTCTGTTTGAGGGTTCTCAAGGATCAAGTGATCATTTTGAGTTCTTGTCTTGCGTTGATTTTTTGGTTGTTTGATTGATTGTCTGTTGAGTGTTCTGTTCACCCCCTCTTATATTTATAAGAAATGCTTTGGAGTAGGGTTTCTAATTCTTTTAATAATGGGTGGCAAAAATTCTCAAAATATCTCTTACTTTTTAAATGCAAAGAAAAAGAGATTTTTATCAATTCTGGCAGATAAGCTCTCAATAGTCAGTTCTTATAGCAATCACTTCCCTGTATTTTCTTTGAAAGGAAACCTAACCCTCCTTCCAATTTAATTGCTCTTTGTAAGAGTTCAAACTTTGATGGTTAGTTTGATTTTCCAGTTTGAATAACTCCCTGTTTCCTGCTTATCTTTTTTTGAAAACTTAGCCTGCGTATCTCTTGAAAGTCGGTGTCTTCTCTGGAGCAGAAGCAATATTTCTAAATATAAAAAAGGGTTTTGATCTTCTGGTGGCAGAGATTCAGAGATGTCCCTTCTTTTGCATGCCCTTGTCAACTTTTATCAATCCAGTTGAAATTGTTGACCTTTCTTAGTCATAAAACATCACGTGGGTCTGTTCCTTTTTTGGGCTTCTTCTCTCTCACTAAGACGAACTTGATGCAGATTGATGAGGATCGTAGCTGACAAGATCCTATCATTGACTACCTAGTGAACGAAAACTTGACAAAGGACATATTTGATGCCAGAAAAATCAAACAGAAAGTTGCGAGATACTACATGAAAGACAACATGCTTGTTCACAGATCATACTTCGGCCCTCATCTTACATGCATCAAATACCCGCAAACGCTCGAGATGCTCTGCAAATATACGACGGCGAATGTGGGAATCAAGCTAGGGGTAGATCACTTGTCCATAAGGATCTTAGCATAGGCTACTTATAGCCTGCCATGTGCCAAGACTCCACAGAGTACGCTCAAAGATGTGATTGATGCCAACGTTATAAACCAATCCCCGGCCTGCCATCTGAAGAATAGTCCATGGTGATAAGTTCATAATTTCATACATTCACATGACTTCTTTACTTAGTGACTTTGCTTAGTTTCTCTATATTTTGAGTCACTTACCTCTTTTTGTTTGTTTTGTAGGTTAAGACAGCAAGCGATCACATTCGATGCAATCCATGCTTGTTAAGGGCTGATTGGGATAAGAGGAATATGAGCTTAAAGACAAACCCGATTTGGGCCACACTCATTGTCAGTCCAGTTTCGTGGGTCATTTTGCAGTCCTCATTTGAGCAACTTACACAGGTCGGATGAGGAGACATCCTTGATAGAAGTTGTTCCAATGGGTGTCTATTATAACATATCCAAATTTCAGCACAATTGGATAAATCTGGAGCCCTCAGCACGTCAAAGACTGAACCAAGTTCACAGAAATGTCATGATTGGCTGCCATCACATCTACATCCCTAGAGCCATGTGCTAAGTATGGGCAGCCACACATGGGAGTCAAATCAGCTCAGAAACTCAGAAGGATGAACAAAAGTCAAGTTTTCCATTAAAAAACCATACCAAGCATGTATTTGGCAGCTGGAGCAGGTGGCAAGTATGGGCATCTGGAGCAGGTGGCAAGTATGGGCTGCTGGAGTTGTTGGGAGCAGCTAAGAGAGGTGTGCTTCACCAGCCAAAGGGGAGGACGAAATTGCACTCTATAAATAGAGGGCTGCACACTCATTCAAGGGGGGAGAGTCAGATACACATTTTCACTTCACCCATTACTCTCATACACAAATTCAGATTCACCACAAAGAGAGAAGAGAGCTTGGAGCTGTCCTGGGAATTCCTTGCTGCCATCATCTAGTTCTTCTCCTCTTTTTATCCTATCTATGTATTTCTTATTTTCTGTATTCATAGTTATGTCTAACTAATCCATTTAGTTAGGGCTTAGGATGAAGCCCTAGTCATGAATATTCAATGTTATGGATGATTTTATAGTTAATTGATTTCCTTGCTTTCATTATCAAGTTGTTAATCTCCAGTTTATTATGTGCTTGATGTATGTTTTCTTAGAGTAGCTAACTAGGATTTTATGCATCTAGCACAGGTTGGGAAGGGGTTTAGATTCACCAATTCTACTCTCCTTTCACAAGCAACACATGAATGGCCTAAGAATCATTCAAGGGGTTAATAACCATATGTTGACTAGGACAGATACCATGTTCTAGGACTTGTGTGATTATCATATTCTCAAGGAGCTTAATGACTCTTGTATGCTTTATTCTAAGTAGATACCATGCTTAGGTTGCATATTAGAGATCACGTGTTGTGTAGATACCATGCACAATTACATGCCTTAGGAGAATCATGCGTCTTGCACCTAGATACCATAGGCTTGTATGCGATAATCTGTTGATGAAGCTTGAGTCAATTTTTATGCATTCATAACTTGGATAAGAAAACTAGTGGTGGATTCCAAGGCTCTAACACCTCTCAATTATTGTTTCACAATCTGTCCAGTGTTTACTTTCGAGCACTTTCATTTCACTTTCTTCTTTTCATTTCAACAACAAAACCCCCCATTTTGAGTGCGTGTGTGGTGCTAGGATTCTGTCCTAGACCTTGAGTAATTAGCAAGAGGCATTGTTGAATTCGACCTTGCCTTTAGCTAGTTAGTCAGTTTCCTTGTTTTATGTTTTTCTAGCATTCTAAGTAATTTAACTTGGAACCAAGTTACCATTCTCCGTGGGATCGACCTCGTATTTACATAAGTTATACTATAAACGGTTCGTGCACTTGCGAGAATTAAAGTTGCTGTTTTTAATAACTCATTTTAGTTGTTAGGAATTGAATCAACAAGTTTTTGGCGCCGTTGCCGGGGAACCGGTAACGATGGTGCTATAGTTAGATTACTTTGATTGTTTTGTTTTTGTTTGTTTCATTTGTTTCTTTTCGTTGGTTTTTCTTTTAGTATTCTGTTTTTGTGTTTAGTTGTTATCTCCACTGAAAGCACTGAATTGAGTTCCTTGGTGTGTGCATGTCCGAATCTGATCAGGAGCAAAGTTCACCTGAGCCACTTTCACCAAGAACCGCTGCTGTACGTGCTGGTTTGAGGAGGAATTATAGTTCTTCAAGCGCTGATTCTAGAAGTTCCGAATCTGAAGGTTCAAGCACGATGGCAGAGATTCCGAACAACAACAATAATGTTGAAGGAGGTGGTGCGCTTGTTGTCCAACCTCGAAAACCCCTGCGTGAGTTTTCCATTCCCAAAGTCACCGATCAACCTTCGTGCATCGTCTATCCTCAACTCACAGTTGACAGGTTTGAGCTTAAAAGTGGTATGATTCATCTTCTTCCAACTTATTATGGTAATACCACTGAGGATCCTTACATGCATATTAAGCAATTTTTTGAAATATGTGTTACGATCAAAATTCATGGCCTTGATGATGAGCAGATTAAGATGAGGCTATTCCCATTCAGTTTAAAAGATAAAGCTAAGTCTTGGTTATACTCTTTGCCTAATGCTTCAATTCATACTTGGGAAGAGCTTTCTAATAAGTTTTTGCAGAAATTCTTTCCGGCTCAAAAGACTAACAAGATTAGAAAGGAAATCCTTGGTTTCACACAAAAGGAAGGAGAAGCTTTTCATGAATGTTGGGAGAGGTACAAGGAGATGATAAGTTCTTGCCCACAACACAACATAGAGAGTTGGATGCAAATGCAATCTTTCTATGAAGGTTTGCTTGATTTCGAAAGGATGATGGTAGATGCAACAAGTGGAGAAGGACTGATGAACAAAACAGCAGATGAGGCTTTTACTCTCTTTGAATCCTTGAGTGCTAACTCTCAACAATGGAGCCATAATAAAGGAAGAGGAGCTCCTATGAAAGCTGTGGTCTCTGAGGTAAGTACTAATAATGAGATTGCTGCAAAACTTGATGTTATGTGTTCTTTGCTTCAACAGGCAGTGACTGGCCCTCTAGGAAACAAAGTAGAAGTTCAAGATCAATCTTTTGCAGAGCACATGCTAGAACAAGCAAATGCCCTTCAAGCAAGGAATCCTAATAATGATCCTTACTCAAACACGTACAATCCGGGGTGGAGAAATCATCCTAATTTCAAGTGGAGCAACAATCCAAATGTGCAACAATCTCAAGGACCTCCCCCAGGATTTCAAATACAACAGAGGCAATTCCAGCAATCTCCCCAACAAATGCAAGAGCAAAGGGGTGATCAAATGGGAGAATTGCAAGACATGTTCAAGAAGTTCATGGGGCAACAGATGCAAACCAATCAAAATCTTCAAAATGCAGTGAACAAGCTAGAAGTGCAAGTTGGGCAGATTGCATCCTCCTTGAGCAATAGGGCATCCGGAACTTTCCCAAGCCAAACTGAGGTGAATCCAAGGCATCAAGAGCATGCTAAAGCAGTACACATCTTGAGAAGTGGTAAACAAGTTGATAACAAGGTTGGAGATGCCAATGAAGAGCAAGAAGATGGAGAAAACGTGGAGATCATTCAGCCACCACATAGGCAGCCCACAGGTTCCACCAAACAGCCCCTCAATGCTCTTGGAAAGAGCACAGGCCCTAAGGTATCATCTAATGCTAATCAAGTTCCAATTTCAACTAATGCTTTTAGGCCTATTGCACCCTTTCCCAGCAGGTTATCAAAGTCAAAGAAAGATCAAGGCTTGGATGAGATAATGGAAACATTCAAGAAGGTGCAAATCAACATCCCATTGCTCAATGCCATTGCTCAGATTCCAAAGTATGCAAAATTTTTGAAGGATCTATGCACTAACAAGAGGAGATTCAAAGAGCATGAACAAGTTGCATTGAGTGAAGAGGTAAGTGCAGTGTTACAAAGAAAGCTACCTCCAAAGCTAAAGGATCCAGGTTCGTTTTCTATACCTTGCATAGTTGGTGATTTTAAGTTTCAAAAAGCTTTGCTTGATCTTGGTGCTTCTATAAACCTTATGCCATATCATGTTTATGAGAAACTTAACCTTGGTGAGTTGCAAGCCACATCTGTGAGCATTCAATTGGCAGATAGAACTATTAGGTACCCCAAGGGCATTCTAGAAGATGTTTTGGTGAAAGTGGAAGAGCTAATTTTGCCAGCAGATTTCTTGGTGTTGGAAATGGAAGAAGCACCAATTCATGACAATCAGTTACCACTCATTCTAGGTCGGCCATTCATGGCAACTGCCGGTGCTATTATTGATGTGAAGAAGGGTACATTGACCATGAACGTGTTTGATGAGACAATAGCATTCAAAGTGTTTGAAGCCTCCAAGTTTCCAAGTGATGAGCATGAAGTTTTCCAGCTTGATGCAATTGATACTATGGTGAAAGAAGCACTGCCAATGAGTTATTTGGAGCCCATTGAAGCATGCATCACACAAAGCATAAGGAAAGAAGAAGTGAACAGCTTAGAGGCTGTGATCTCTCCTTTACTTTTTGAGCTTGTTTGCAGCATGGATAGCTACATAGAAGTTGGAAAGAGGTATGCAAACCAATTTGAATCATTACCCCCACCTACTAATAAGGTTTTACCTTCTATTGTGCAGGCACCAGAGTTGGAATTAAAGCAATTGCCAAAACACCTTAAATATGCTTATTTAGGTGAAAATGAGACTCTACCTGTTATCATTGCCTCACACCTCGAACCAAATGATGAGAAGAAGCTTTTGAGAGTTCTAAAAGAGCACAAAACTGCAATTGGGTGGAGCATTGCAGATATCAAAGGCATAAGTCCAACACTATGCATGCACAAGATATTATTGGAAGACAATGCAATGCCTAAGAGGGATGCCCAAAGACGTCTCAATCCGAACATGAAGGAGGTGGTAAGAAAAGAGGTAATGAAGCTTTTAGATGTTGGTATTATTTACCCTATTTCTGACAGTAAATGGGTGAGCCCAGTGCAAGTTGTTCCCAAAAAGTCAGGTATCACAGTGGTGAAGAATGAAGCAAATGAACTTGTACCTACACGGGCTGGAGAGTTTGCATCGATTATAGGAAGCTCAACACAGCAACAAGCAAGGATCACTTCCCTCTTCCATTCATTGATCAGATGCTTGAGAGATTGGCTGGCCATAGCCACTATTGCTTCCTTGATGGATATTCAGGCTACAACCAAATCGCCATAGCCCCAGAGGATCAAGAGAAGACGACCTTCACGTGTCCCTTTGGTACTTTCGCTTATAGGAGGATGCCTTTTGGTCTCTGTAATGCCCCAGCCACTTTTCAAAGGTGCATGATGAGCATTTTCTCCGACATGGTAGAAAGGTTCATTGAGGTATTCATGGATGACTTCTCTGTCTTTGGTGATTCTTTTGATCAATGCTTGCATAACTTATCCAAGGTGTTGGCTAGATGTGAACAGACTAACCTTGTGCTTAATTGGGAAAAATGTCATTTTATGGTTAACCAAGGCATAGTTCTTGGTCATGTCATCTCTAGTAAAGGAATCGAGGTAGATAAAGCTAAGATTGATTTGATTGCCTCCATGCCCTCACCTACTTCTGTCAAAGAAGTACGTTCTTTCCTTGGCCATGCAGGTTTCTATAGGCGTTTCATTAAGGAATTTTCTAAGATTGCGAGGCCTTTGTGCAATCCCCTTGCCAAGGACATGGATTTTGTCTTTGATCAAAACTGTGAGAATGCTTTCAATGCTTTGAAGAAGATGCTCACAATTGCCCCAATCATTATACCACCAGATTGGAGCTTGCCTTTTGAATTGATGTGTGACGCCTCTGATTATGCTGTTGGAGCTGTTTTGGGACAGCGAGTTGATAAGAAGCCACATGCCATCTACTATGCTAGTAGAACCCTCAACGATGCCCAACTCAACTATTCCACCACAGAGAAGGAGTTATTAGCTGTCATATTTGCTTTAGAGAAGTTCAGATCATATTTGATTACTAACAAGGTTATTGTTTACACTGATCATGCAGCATTAAAATACTTGTTAGCCAAGAAGGATGCCAAGCCACGACTCATTAGATGGATTCTCTTGTTGCAAGAGTTTGACTTAGAGATAAAAGATAAGAAAGGAAGTGAGAATGTTGTGGCTGATCATTTGAGTAGATTGGTGCATGTGTCTAACGAAGAGGAGGATTCATTGCCATTGCGTGAAAGCTTCCCTGATGAGCAACTCTTCTCCATTTGTGCTTTGAATTCTCTCAATCCATTACCTTGGTTTGCTGATATTGTTAACTATTTGTGCACTAATGAACTCCCTACAGGGTTATCTACGTTCCAACGTGACAAGCTTAGGAAGCAAGCAAGATACTACTTTTGGGATGATCCATATCTATTCAAGCATTGCCCAGACCAAGTAATTCGAAGGTGTGTGCCTGAAGGTGATTTTAAGAGCATTCTGGAGTTTTGTCACTTCCATGCATGTGGAGGACATTTTGGAGCAAAGAAGACTGCCAACAAAGTGCTACAATCAGGTTTCTTTTGGCCTACCCTTTTTAAGGATGCGTATGTTTTTTGTGCTTCATGTGATAGATGCCAACGGATGGGTAATTTACATGCTAGAAATCAGATGCCTCTCACCAATATCCTAATCATTGAAATATTTGATGTTTGGGGAATTGATTTCATGGGCCCTTTTCCTACCTCTTATGGATTTGAATATATATTAGTTGCTGTCGATTATGTTTCTAAATGGGTAGAAGCCATTGCCACTAGAACTAATGATGCTAAGGTTGTGATCGGTTTTCTCAAAGGAAATATTTTTACAAGGTTTGGCACACCTAGAGCAATCATTAGTGATGGTGGCTCCCACTTTGTTAACCAAGCTTTTGCAGCACCCTTGAAGAAATATGGAATCACGCATAAGGTGGCAACACCCTATCATCCCCAAACTAGTGGGCAGGTTGAGATAAGCAATAGGAAGATTAAGCACATACTTGAAAAGACGGTGAACACCACAAGGAAGGATTGGTCCATGCGTTTGGATGATGCATTGTGGGCTTATAGGACTGCTTATAAGACACCTATAGGTATGTCTCCGTATAGGCTTGTTTTCGGTAAACCTTGTCACTTACCAGTGGAGCTTGAGCACAGGGCTTATTGGGCAATCAAGGCCTTCAATTTTGATATGAAAGCTGCTGGTGAGAAGAGGAGGCTTCAACTCAATGAGTTGGAGGAGTTGCGACATGAAGCGTATGAGAATGCTAAGCTTTACAAGGAGAAAACAAAGCAATATCATGACAAGAAAATTCTTAGGAAGACGTTTGAGAAAGGGCAGAAGGTTCTCCTATTCAATTCACGCCTTAAGCTCTTTCCAGGTAAGCTTCGTTCTCGGTGGATTGGCCCTTTTGTTATTACTAATGTGTTTGATCATGGCGCAGTGGAGATTCAAAATATTAAGGATGGCAGCACCTTCAAGGTGAACGGACATCGGTTGAAACCTTACTTTGATGCCAACTTTGATGCCAATATTGAGTCTCAAGCACTCAAGGAGCCTCTACCACTCTCTTGATGTTCACCAGAGTTTGGACGTCCGGCTGAAGACATAAAACTTAGCGCTTCTTGGGAGGCAACCCAAGGTGACGAGGAGAAGACAAAACATGCAAGGAAGCCTGCTTGTCCTAATCGCTTCAAAGGGGAGTTTTTCTGAACTCTAACCTTTGCTTATGTCTTTCCCTTATCTTCTTTCCTTTCATTTATGAGGCATTGCTTTTTCTTACACTCTAAACATTGAGGACAATGTTTCATTTAAGTTTGGGGGGAAGGATTTAGTTATGTTGTTTCAAATTGTCAAATTTTAAAATTTTGAGTGTGTCTAATGGCCAAAAACGCAGGATTTTGTGTCTTGTTTCGTTATCCTTCCAAACACCTATGATAAGACTTGGATATAATACTAATATGGTTTCTCAGAAATTCATAGTCATTGTTTAAGGACTTTGTGTGGTTTTGAGTTAACTCTGTCTTGCATGCCATCCTTGCACTTATTGAGCACTTTGCCAAGTTAGTCCAATTTCTTGTTACTTAGAGACGTTATGCAATTCTACTTATCTCATGATCTTGGTTTTGTACTCTAGAACTTATTTGAATATCTCTTGAGACATTTTGTTGCCATACAATGCTTAGGAAGTGATTTAGGCCATGTTTGAACCGTTTGAGCCTTTCTGACCATGCCTTTACATGTATTCATCCCTAGTCAACCCATTTGAGCCAACGTTAAGCCTTTCTTTGTGTAAACCATTCCTACCATAATGAACCTCTGTTATTCTTACTTATTCTATGAGCAATTAAAGCTATCTTCAAAAGAGAGTTATAAAGAAGAATGCAAGGTTTTTGGAGCAAAAGTGAATCATTAGTGCTATAACCCAAGTGTTGAAAAGAAATAGTTTGGGGGTATTGGTAACTAATCAAAAGAGGTAATGAAGTGTGACCAATGTAGTCACGGCCCTAGGGTGTTATAAAAGAGAAGATCATGGTGATCTAGGGTAAAGAGCCACAAAATTAGGCCAAATAAACAGATATGAAGGTACTGAAATTATGTTGAAAATCTGCTCATATATGTGTTCCTTGCTTGTTACAAAGTTCAGTAATCTCTTATGCTCTTACCTATGCTTTAATTGTGCTCAAAATATTGTATATCTCATATCCCTTCTTTCATTCAACCACTACCCTAAACCTCATTACTACCCTTGTAAAGTCCTTTTGATCCTTGGTGTTGCATGGTATTATGTGGAGAGCAGATTGGATAATGAGCTTATGGGGTTCGGAATTTTTGATTTTGCTCTAAGTGTGTGCGCATGTACTTATTTGAGTTGTAGGTGTTGTTCTGATTTGGCATTCATACACTACACTTAAGGATGTCATTGTGAGCTTTGCTTTCTCATAAATCATGTATGGAACTTAGATTGTGATTTTTATGTTTCTTTGAAACCATATACGTTGGTGATTCTTTGAGGATATTGTTCGGAAGGGTTGTTGCGTATTTCCTGTTCCCTAAGTTGTAATTTTCCTTTGTTTTGCTCGAGCACTAGCAAAAATCTAAGTTTGGGGGTATTTGATAAGTTCATAATTTCATACATTCACATGACTTCTTTACTTAGTGACTTTGCTTAGTTTCTCTATATTTTGAGTCACTTACCTCTTTTTGTTTGTTTTGTAGGTTAAGACAGCAAGCGATCACATTTGATGCAATCCATGCTTGTTAAGGGCTGATTGGGATAAGAGGAATATGAGCTTAAAGACAAACCCGATTTGGGCCACACTCCTTGTCAGTCCAGTTTCGTGGGTCATTTTGCAGTCCTCATTTGAGCAACTTAAACAGGTTGGATGAGGAAACATCCTTGATAGAAGTTGTTCCAATGGGTGTCTATTATAACATATCCAAATTTCAGCACAATTGGATAAATCTGGAGCCCTCAGCACGTCAAAGACTGAACCAAGTTCACAGAAATGTCATGATTGGCTGCCATCACATCTACATCCCTAGAGCCATGTGCTAAGTATGGGCAGCCACACATGGGAGTCAAATCAGCTCAGAAACTCAGAAGGATGAACAAAAGTCAAGTTTTCCATTAAAAAACCATACCAAGCATGTATTTGGCAGCTGGAGCAGGTGGCAAGTATGGGCATCTGGAGCAGGTGGCAAGTATGGGCTGCTGGAGTTGTTGGGAGCAGCTAAGAGAGGTGTGCTTCACCAGCCAAAGGGGAGGACGAAATTGCACTCTATAAATAGAGGGCTGCACACTCATTCAAGGGGGGAGAGTCAGATACACATTTTCACTTCACCCATTACTCTCATACACAAATTCAGATTCACCACAAAGAGAGAAGAGAGCTTGGAGCTGTCCTGGGAATTCCTTGCTGCCATCATCTAGTTCTTCTCCTCTTTTTATCCTATCTATGTATTTCTTATTTTCTGTATTCATAGTTATGTCTAACTAATCCATTTAGTTAGGGCTTAGGATGAAGCCCTAGTCATGAATATTCAATGTTATGGATGATTTTATAGTTAATTGATTTCCTTGCTTTCATTATCAAGTTGTTAATCTCCAGTTTATTATGTGCTTGATGTATGTTTTCTTAGAGTAGCTAACTAGGATTTTATGCATCTAGCACAGGTTGGGAAGGGGTTTAGATTCACCAATTCTACTCTCCTTTCACAAGCAACACATGAATGGCCTAAGAATCATTCAAGGGGTTAATAACCATAGGTTGACTAGGACAGATACCATGTTCTAGGACTTGTGTGATTATCATATTCTCAAGGAGCTTAATGACTCTTGTATGCTTTATTCTAAGTAGATACCATGCTTAGGTTGCATATTAGAGATCACGTGTTGTGTAGATACCATGCACAATTACATGCCTTAGGAGAATCATGCGTCTTGCACCTAGATACCATAGGCTTGTATGCGATAATCTGTTGTTGATGAAGCTTGAGTCAATTTCTATGCATTCATAACTTGGATAAGAAAACTAGTGGTGGATTCCAAGGCTCTAACACCTCTCAATTATTGTTTCACAATCTGTCCAGTGTTTACTTTCGAGCACTTTCATTTCACTTTCTTCTTTTCATTTCAACAACAAAACCCCCCCATTTTGAGTGCGTGTGTGGTGCTAGGATTCTGTCCTAGACCTTGAGTAATTAGCAAGAGGCATTGTTGAATTCGACCTTGCCTTTAGCTAGTTAGTCAGTTTCCTTGTTTTATGTTTTTCTAGCATTCTAAGTAATTTAACTTGGAACCAAGTTACCATTCTCCGTGGGATCGACCTCGTATTTACATAAGCTATACTATAAACGGTTCGTGCACTTTCGAGAATTAAAGTTGCTATTTTTAATAACTCATTTTAGTTGTTAGGAATTGAATCAACACATGGCCATTCATGCAGTGGACCATTGACTTGGTGAGACCTATGCTGCCGGCACTTGCCAAAGGCCATTGTTCGAGTTGCCGCACATCACCAACAACTGACATCTTACTACAACAAGAAGGCCATTGTTCAAGTTGCAGCATACTAGCAGCAGCCGACATCTTACTACAACAAGAAGGCCATTGTTCGAGCTCCTCACTTACCAGCTGGCTACTTTACTTCCATTAAAGACAACCTACTTCTTAGTACAAGCTCAATAGAGTCTTTTTCGAGCGTCGTGTCCCCAACATACACATACATGTGACGAGCTTTACCTCCATATTGGCAATGTCCTGAAGATAGAATTTCGCAGTGCTTGAAGTTCAATTCAATGGATGTCTATCTCCAAGGATTCAACTATCTATAAATCAAAGATCCAGCACCAAATCCTTGATCTTTGGGGAACTTAGATGTGCTTCTTCTCCATACAGAATGTAAGAAAAATATGACGTTTTATTTGTTTGTTGAAAATAAGTTACTTTTTTTATGGTTGGATATTGGGTATATATAATACTGTTTGCGGCTTCAAACACAACAGTTAGAAACCTGTACTAATTTAAATTCAAACTGAAATGATAAAATAAACATGTTCTACTGTGCAAAAAAGTAAAAAAATAAAATATTTTTCGGGCCCAACTCTCAGATAAAATCAGCTTGAGTACTTTTTGTTAGAGAAAACCCGCTTGAGTGCTTTGTGTTAGAAATAACCCGCTCAAGTACTTTATGTTAGAGAAAACCTGCTCGAGCATGTTTTGTTAAAGACTTTTGCAAAACTGTGAACTTTCATTGTGCGACAAAAATACTTCATTTGCTTTCAAACTACAACAAGTATCCTAATCAAGTCTTCGTTTGGTATAAAAATAAAATAATCAAAGTATAAAAAGTACCACTGAATATTGGGAGTAAAATTACATTGCTCTTTTGGTGTTTACACTGATAGAATTCTTTCAGATAGAACTCACTTAACACTCAGATTTCACACTCTCTCCTCTTTCCTCTCACTCTTCCTTTCTTCTCTTCCTTTCTTTCCTCTCTTCTCCGTTAGTGTGTCTTGCTAAGCAATGGGAAGCCTATTTGTAGGCAAATTGAATGGCTTCCAACATCATCATTAAGCTTTTTGAATATTTTTTTCTTTACGTGGACTCCACCATTTTCTTTACAATATCATTGATATATTGGCCTTTTGAGCTTTTGTTTTTTGTTTTGTTTTGAGAGATGCCTTTTGATCTTTCGATACACACTAAACAAGCAAGAAAAAATGCAACTCAAATGCCAAAACAATTATTGTAGCAAACTGCTTAAAATATCATGAAAAGTGGGCTCAAGTTGGGGGCCATGTATTGGTTCAGACATATGGTCATCGAAGATTATTGATGGCAATACTTGCCACTGATTTGTAAGTACGGGAGCACACACTACTTTTCTATAAAACAAATTGCAAAGTTTAAAGCCCTCAGCCATTGATAAAAAATGAAAAATAAAATAAAATTGATTCCACAATAAAATAAAATAAAACATAAGCTGAGGTGTGAGGAAATAACAACATAGAACCCCCTGGATCAGGGTTGATTATCTCTCTAGCTACTAGGGTTTTGATGGCTGCAG